AAGCTATTGTTTGTATGGCGACTCTGTGAGAATAACAGTTTTTCCACGTCTAACGTTACTCACTCTAGGTTTCTTGGCAGTCACATTTGGTACTGGAACAATTGCCTCCACAAATGTGTTAAAAGCAGATTTATGCTTGTTTGTCTGACTGCTGCTGAATTGGATGTCAGGTGAAATTACCGAGATATCAGCCCATGATGAACAACCGGGTTGGGGTTCAGGTATTTTATATGGAGTCGAAAACAATGGCTGTGGCTGCACTTCAGAAAGGTCATCTGGTTGCAATTCAGGAACATCATTTGTCCCTGCTTGAAATTGAGGGGCATCCTGGTGCTCTGCTTGTATGACAGGAATCTCGATATCTGTTGTTTCAGCTGCCAAAAAATCCACCTCTTTGAAGACATTACGTTGAACTGGCCAGATTCCAGTTTTGCGAAACCCATTGATGGCAGTGTCCATAGATGCTGCTTGTATAAACGCTTTACCAAACAAGCTTGCAATCTGGTATTGTGTAACAACACGCCCTTGATGTGTGCGAAGCCAAGATTTCATCTCATCATTGTAGTATGTACTGAGAGGTTTCATGAAACTTACGTCTAGTGGCTGCATACGATGTGTTCAGTGTGGTGGAAAGCACAGCAAAATTAGACCATTTTCACGAGCAAGGTCAATTAGGTCCATGTTTTTGGTGTGTGTGGCATGTCCATCCAGAAGTAACAACACTGGTGACTCTTTGCTTGCACGGGAAAATGTAATGAATTGCTTGAACCATGCCATGAAGATATCTGACTGCATCCACCCACTCGGATGACATTCGGCCTATGCACCGGGTGGAGCCCCATCCAACAGCTCTGGCTTCATACCCTTCCGATGGAAGATTAGGCATCGGTGGCATATATGAACCATCTGCACAAAAACAAATCTCTATTGTAACCAGTTGGCCCCTCTCTGCTGACGTAAGCGTTCCCACTTAGCGGCGTCCCTTCAATGCAATGAGTTTCTGATGACTTTTCGACACAGTTATTACCCCTGTTTCGTCACAGTTAAAAATCTGATTTGGTGTCAGTTTGTATTCATCAACAAGTCGCTCTAGCAAGTCAAAAAAACATAGAGACTGCAACTTTGTTGAAGCCCATCGCTCTGACAGCTGAAGTAGGTTCTGTTTTACGCAGTGATAGGTCTGCATGTCTCTTCATGAAGCCTTCTAGCCAATCTACACAAGCCATCTCATATTTTCTGTTAAATGGATGTGGTATCTTGTTTCGTTCAGCCAGTTGAAATGCCAGCATTCGTAATTCTTTGGTTCTAAATCCAAATAGTTTTGCCTCCATCAGCTTGAGGTACTAAACCAGCTCATCTTCTTGTTCTGTGGTGAAGATTGGTTTGTATTTCCCCAGACATTTTTGGGTAGCTGTGGCTACATCTGGGTCTTCACGGTATTTCATAACCCGTCTTTCAAGTGTAGTCTGTGGCACATTGTACTGGGCTGAGGCTTTCCTGTATCCCATTACACCATATACACCACATCTTCAATTGCCTGTCCCATAGATTCCTCCGACCAACTTTGTCGGTCAGTCTTACGTTTGTACTTTTGAACCATGCTATTTAAAAAAAAAGGAAAGTCAAAATTAGGGAATGCCAACATATATCTTATTTACTTTCCAACAGAATGATAATAGGGCAAAATGGGGACATCCACCCCATTTTGCCCCATTCATTCCAGTCAGGAAAATGGCCGACAAATTTCGCAAGGCTTATTCAATGTCAAAAGTTAATTACCCTTAATCATGCCAAGTCTACCTATAGTTCAAAACCAGAAACTATTTATTTGGATGCCATTGTTCTTGGACAAATAGCAGCATATCATAGACAACCCTTATATTTTAAAAAAATGTTGAAAAATCGATAGTTTTGAACCATATTTACCTGAAATGTCTTCTTCTTTACAACACATGCTACACGAGGTTTCTCTGACGTAATGAATAGTCCAGAGTATGTATAAAAGATGGCAGTACTGTAGAATAAAAAATATAGCAAAACCTCGTTTTGCCCCATGACCCCGTTTTGCCCCATGGTCCCCTACATTGATTGTGCCTGCGGAAACAAGGGATTTAGTACTAGAGCTGGGCCTGAACATGTGTATGACTAGATCAACTGAATTTTACAAGAGAAGCCTAGTGGCTGTTGTTGCCTTGTAGGTGATATCATGCATGATATCAAAATATTTACGTTTTAGATATTTCCCTCAGCTTCCAATCATATTCCATTTAATTATAAAGCAAATATTTCTTTTTTCAAATAATAAAATAGTAATTGTAGGGACAGAACTGTAATATGTAATTAGTCATTTTTCTGATAACGCATTACCGCAGTAATAATAATTATTTCCGAGTACGATGTCATACACATGATCGTCATATACGACCAAACCATACACGTGCTGCTTTTTACTGCGTGCGCATGATTTGACTCGCTAGAATAGATATGAGCGGCCAACCTATTACAATTATCTAACGGGCTGGGGGTAGCGCGTTGAAAATGTTACAAGTATCAAGAAACGAACGCGCGCCATATGCGCACTTAAAAAGGCCTATTCGTTCACAAGTGTGGTTTTCATCACAGCGTTAAAACACCTATTCACATTTCCGGCACCTTGAAACCTAATATTTCAATTACAATAAAGCACCTGCACGTTCTCGGTGTAAAAACGACAACGTTATAAGTTGACAAATTTCTGAAAATGTGTATTTTGACCGTGGTAGTCCAGTTACTGCGTTCCACACAGGCACGCTCACACATGCGGGCAGATATGGTTTCGCAGATGTTTAAATTCTATGCGTCGTTACACAAGAAACGATAATTGAAGTGTCGTACTGTTGTACTGTTTAAGGTTTTGCCAAACAGGTGTGGAAACGAGTAAAATTAATCAAATATATTAGTAAAATGTGTTCATACTTGAAGTTAAGTCCTTCCTTACTAACAGTAACGCTAGCAACGTACTGTCGTTTTCAATAATTTATATTGACCCAATTAAATAATCTCTCTGCAACTCCTTGAGATAGCGTTATAGTGTTCACATGAAGATGCATGAATTATAATTGTATAAATTATAATAATATTAAGTATATTTTAATTGTCGTGACGCAAAAAACAATAATCTAAATGTTTGAAGTATTCTTGTACGTAGGAACGAGTAAAATTAGTCAAATTAACAGACACACACACATATACATAGGCATACACACACACACGCGCGCACGCACGCACGCATGCACGCACGCACACACACAATCCAAGCAGAAAATAATACTGAGGGTTGGTGGTTTGAAGTCAGGCGGTATTACGGGTGATTTATATTTCTTATTTTTGAACTGAATTTTTGAATGACAATTATATGCCCCTAAATTGTAGGTGTTTGCTATAATGATATATTATATATAGTAACGAACGTAACAACAGCACATGTGCGTCGTGTTGTATTTAACACACTACCTTCAGAAATTGAGATGAGGAAAGATCAACATTTTTTTCACGTTTGCGAGCGTCAAGCTGAGGTGTCGACCACTTCTATTGACTGGATAATTTTGCAGAGGTCCCAAGTTGGAAAAATCCAAGAAAGGGATCACTTGATAATGGTCCATCGCCGTTTTTTCGCGGTGCGCAAAAACAGGAAAAACGTTGTGGCGGGCTGCGACATGTGTTTGTCGCGGCGCACCACTATTTTTTTAAATAAAGTATACATGTAAAATAAACATAAAGTAGACACTTGTGGTCTTTTATTGTTCGCTGGAATCAAAGTACGTCAACAACCACGGCAAATTTAGTAATTTACTGATGTAAATTTTAAAACATGGCTGATAAATGTTACGACTGGGACTTTCTGGACTCGTGACGGTCACCGGTAACAGCATGTCGCACCGGGACGATCCCGGTGAGACCGGGACACTTGGGACGTCTGATTTTGTTTTGCTTCGTGTGCTCACGATGCGTTATTATGAAGAGAAGCACATGGAGATTCATGGGGTATACCATTTATCTCTTAAAACTCATGACATCCTCCGTATAAAGGTATCTGAAATTATTATTAAACCATCATAATTACATTTCTCGTGTTTGCGTGTGGACATTATAAATAGAATGATAGGTGGTTAATTTGACAAAAACACAACCTTATATGGGCATCGTGAGTTGATAATCACGTGCAGAAGCAGAACTATATGAAGACATAGGCACGTGTTTATATATGTGTGGCCTTACACTTATGCAGCACATGCATGCACTTATGCTAATAAAGTCGTGTTTTGTGTGTACACTGACTGCAGACTGATTATACACACAGACACACACGCACGCACGCACGCACGCACTTACGCACGCAGTGCCACTCACGCACGCACGCACGCACGCGCGCGCACACGCACACACGCACGCACACACGTATTATGATATAGACAATAGCTAGAGTCCACTAAGCCAGTGTGCGTGTCTGACGGTGAAAAAAGAATCGATATCATTATAACAAGCTCTCATCACTTCAACGAAATATCACACACACACACATATATATATTTCTTCGTATATATATCCTATCCATCACTGCTAGTTTTATACATTTAATATCAATAAAGGCAGAACAAAAAACTGCAACAAAAAATGCACAAACAAAAACAATTAACAGATGTGAATGTGATTAAACATTAGTATATAAATTGTGACAAACTCACGTAACACGTTGTTGGTCGATTTAATTTTTATCGAGTTTTTAGCACCACTGGTGATGGAAGTTTATAGAAAGCTGTTGTAGCCTACGTACATTATTTATGAACTATGGCAACTTCATATATATGTAAATTAAGACTTACTTTATAAATGTTTGTTACGCCAATACCACATCAATAAATTTTAATTTTATGCATACTATTCCTATTTTTATTACGAAATGCTTATTTTTAAAACAAAACAAGAGCAAGACCAGACCAACGAAACAAAAAAAGAAACGATTAGCTTTTGAACACATTAATTTAATTTTATTGACAACAAAACTGACCGATGGCCTTACATTGAACACCAGAATTGTCGCAAAATTCCTCTGCCGGTAAAGTGTACCTCGACGACGCGCACGCTGCCAGCTGCACGTTACGCTATTTGCTAATCGATGGACAAACCCGCTAAACTTCGACGAAGCTCTAGGCACGTCAGCGCCACCTATACGGCCGGCGGAGGTTGGCAGGAGATAGTCTCCCTCAACCGATTACCTAACCAATAATTACAGTTACAATAACAACGACGCCACCTCGTTAACCGCTCGACATAATTAGCATATTAATTAGACGAGCTCGTCGAGGTAGGGCGTGTTTCGGAGGTCTCCCACGGCAGACATCGCCAGCTTTCCGGTGACGATGCGTTTCGCGGCGGCGGCGACGTCGGCGGCGGTTGCCGCGGCGATGGCAGCGAGGACGTCGTTGCTGCTGATCAAGTCGCCGGAGTGAAGAGCCTGTGTCGCGAGGCAGATCGCGTACTCGTTAGCATCCTCCTCCTCCATGAGCACGGCAGCTGCCAGCTGCTGCTTCACCTGCTGCAGCTGCTGATCTGTAGAGCAAGAGAGAGAGAGAGAGACACGTTAGCGTGTCGAACGATAAAATCGGAGAGAGAGAAAGAGTTGAGAGATAGAGGATGTCGTGAAATAGATCACATAGGTGACCGTATAACCGTATGTTGCTATCCTATCCCACTTATATATTACGCATACCGTGTGTTGCGGAAACTCACTCAAGTTCCATCGACAACTTACGCGCAGGAATCTTCTATAGTGTATCGTATTTATTGTGAAATCTCACTCATAAACTCAGCATAATAACATTCGTGCTTCCGTCCTCTTCACACTCTGTTCCCGCTCTGCTTTCCCTCGTGCTTCCCTACCGGCTACGTACCCGTGACGCCGTTCTTCGCGAGGGAGCGGACCTCCTCCATGCCCGCCCGCAGCAGCGCCCCCTACCTGCTACGTACCCGTGACGCCGTTCTTCCGCGAGGAGCGACCTCCTCCATGCCTGCCCAGCAGCGCCCCCTACCTGCTACGTACCCGTGACGCCGTTCTTCGCGAGGGAGCGGACCTCCTCCATGCCCGCCCGCAGCAGCGCCCCTACCTGCTACGTACCCGTGACGCCGTTCTTCGCGAGGGAGCGGACCTCCTCCATGCCCGCCCGGCAGCAGCGCCCCTACCTGCTACGTACCCGTGACCGCCGTTCTGCGCGAGGGAGCGGACCTCCTCCATGCCCGCCCGCAGCACGCCCCTACCTGCTATGTACCTGTGACGTCGTTCTTCGCGAGGGAGGGACCTCCTCCATGCCCGCCCGCAGGCGCGCCCCCTACCTGCTACGTACCCGTGACGCCGTTCTTCGCGAGAGAGCGGACTTCCTCCATGCCCGCCCGCAGCAGCGCCCCCTACCTGCTACGTACCCGTGACGCCG